TCACAGTGATCTTCCTGCCTCAGTACTGGGTACTGGTATTACAGGCATGCGACACCACACCTGGCAAGTTTGCAAATTTGCCAGTCATTATTTTCTCAAATGCTTTTCCTGCCCTCCCCTTTTCTCTGGGGCTCCAGCTATCCTGCTGACGAGGAGGTTTGATGCTCTCCTAGAAATCAATGATGCTTTGTTCATCTTTTCACACTTTTTTCTACTGTGTTTCCTTTTTTAAAGAAATCATTTTTATTAGTATATACGCTTGTAGTACATGATGATCACCTTCCTCTCGGTGAGTTGGTGCATGTACAGCTCTGTTTCATTTTCGCTGATTCCCATCGCTATGTATTCAAATTTATTAATCTTTTCTTTTGTAGCATCTAATATGGTGCTAATCCCGTTGGATGTATTTTTCATTGTACTTCCTATGTCTAGAAGTTAGATCTGGATCTTTAAAAATCTTGTATATCTCGCACTGCGCATGATGGTGCATACCTATAATCCCAGCAGTCTAGAGGCTGAGGCAGGAGAAGTGCTGAAAATTAGAAGAGGGCCTGGGCTACATAGTCAGCTCAAGGCCAGTCTGAACTGCATAGCAAGACCCTGTCTCGAAAAAGAAAAAAAAATGGAATAGCTGTAATAATTTTTAATATATTTATTAATTTTATTATCTGATTAATTTCTGGGTCTATATTTTTATTTTTTTATCTTATTGAGACAAGGTCTTGCCATGCAGTTCAGGCTGAGCTTGAGCTCACTTTGTAGCCTAGGCTGACCTTGAACTCACAGTGATTCTCCTGCCTCAGCCTCCCGAGTGCTGGAGTTATAGGTGTGCACCACCACGCCCAGCTCTGGATCTATTTTTATGTTTCTTCTTACTATAGGTTGTATTTTTTGCTTTTCTTCATACCTAGTAATTTTTTATCAAATGTCAAATATTGTGAATTTTACTTTGTTGAGTCTTGGATTTTTAAAATTCTTGAATATTCTTGAACCACAGCTGCCTTCAGTCTTGTGTGGATTCTTCCCCTGCCTCTAAGACAAAAATCTAAATAAATAAATAAACATAAGACAAAAATCTTTCTGTACAAGTTACCCAGAACCCCATGGAGTGTAAGGTTTCCCATGCGGGCTAGTGGAAACAGGCATGATTTCCACCCCACTGAGCTGCAGATTTTGTGCTCGGCTGCTTTGCGGTGGTTCTTTTCCCGTCTCACACAGTGTGCTCACAAATCCATCCTGGTCAGTCCCAGCTGACTCCTGCAGGGAACGCTGGAAGCTCTCTTCCTTCTCTTCCGCTACCTTGGCCTGGGGACGCCTAACTCTGTCACCTCACAGCAAGGACACAGCTGCACTCTGCCTGGGACCCTCAGCTCTAAGCCAGCAGACCTGACGGGTGGTAGGCTGGGGCCCCCAGAGCACCCACCAGCAGTTTTCAGTCCCGGGAGTGACAGCGCTGAGCTGCCTGATGCCCAGCGTTTACACATCACTGTCTCATATGTGTGGCCCGGTTCTCCGTGTCAAATACTAGGTGGTGAATCTGATGGCTGTGCCCTGTCTTGGCTGAGAGCAGACATTTGGTCTGGGTGATAAAGGGCAGGAGTATGAGGGTAAACTGGATGGAACGCTCCAGGGGTTTGGTTTCTGCTTGGTTTTGCACTTTGCTGGGTGGCGTTAACCTGGTTTCTCCTACCCTTCCCACACCAAATCTCAAGTCTCAGATTCCTCTTTACTCCTTTTTGTAGCTCCTTTGATGCCACTGAGTGTGTTACACAAAATAAATGCTTAAAGAATGTGTCTCTAGCCAGACGTGGTGGCCCATGCCTGTCATCCCAGAACTTGGGGAGGATGAGGATTGCATGTTCCAGCCCAGCCCAGGCAATTTAGTGACTTAGTAAGACCCTGCCTCAAAACTAAAAGTACAAAAAATGGCTGGGGGTGTAGCTCAGTGCCAAGGCTTTGGACTCAATCTCCAGTACCAAAAAACAGCACTCATAACCTGTGTATTAAAAGGAGATTTAAAAATAAAATAGCTAGGCGTGGTGGCACACATCTGTAATCCCAGCACTGGGGAGGCTGAGGCAGGAAGATCATTGCTAGTTCAAGACCAGCCTGTGCTACAAAGTGAGCTCAAGGCCAGCCCGAACTGCATACCAAAACTCTGTCTCAAAAAGACAAAAAAATAAAAATAAAATAAAATAGACTTAAAACACCTAAACAAAATGAATGAGGTTAAAATGTAGTGTCTAGGGTGCACATTTGAGTAATAAAACCACAGAGAAACACACAGAAGTTTAGTTGTGTCCTTCTTTTTTTGTCCTTACTGTAAAAGTAAGGGCAGGACCTGGGATATAGCTCAGCAACACAAGTGCCTGTTTGGCAAGTGCAAGGTCCAGAGTTTGATTCCCGGTACCAAAAAATAAAATAAAATTAAGAAGTAAGGGCATTAGTTTTGGAGGGGGTAAGGGGATGTTGGGTGTGATGAGGATGAGGAGTGTGCAGACCTCTGTGTAACTGAAGATCTATTTCTACATAAGTAACAGTTATAAAAGTGTACCCTAAAAATTCATTTGTTTCAGAAGGTTTTTGTAGCTGGATTTTATTTTATAATAAAAATATTTTTCTTAAAGTGTAGGCATACAGTGCGGTGGCAAAACATTTGCTTAGCGTTTGGGAGGCCTTGGGTTCAATCTCCAGCAATGCCCCCCAAAATTGTATTTATAATGAATTAATAAATTCATTCAAAAAGTATTTGTAATGAATTAATAAATAAATAGATCTGGGCACTGAGCACCAAGGGTTGCTAACATCAGAAGCAAAGACATCCAAATACTGTGTGCTTTATGATAGTGTTCACACCACTACGTGAAATCAGTCTGAATCGGATTAAGCCACTAGACCCAATTCCAAATATAGGAGAAAGGAGGACAGAGGAATTTGGTTTTGGTTTTTTTCCGGTACCAGGAATTGAACTCACGACCTTGCACTTGCCAGGCAGGCGCTGTGCCGCTGAGCTAAATCCCCAGTCCCCGGAATATTTTAAATTAGTGACAGGGTGTTATGGGTTAGATCAAAAAAGTTCCCCAAAGGCCTGGTGCACCCACAGGAAGGGCTGGTAGACAAGAACTGAAATCACCCACCACAGAGTTCAGCAGCTGAATACGCCGTGGGACGGGAGGGCCTGGCCAGAAGGGGTGTGTCCTTGTTGGTGGGTCTACCTGTCCCTGGCTCCTCCCTTCTCCCCTGTTTCCGGTTCGCCATGACATGAGCAGTTTTCCTCTGCCCAAGGCCTTCTACCATACCCTTTCTGTGTTCAGTCCTGGAGTAAATC